CACTGGATCATACAGGCATTTTCTCCCTTCACAACTTTTGCATATTTTCTTACTGTGTCATTTGTCTTTTTTCTCACCATGGGAAATCTATTAAGGAGAAAAAGGTGGAGTAGTTACACAGTGCCCTCTGACTATTAGCATGAGGAGCCTTCTGCCTGGAAACACTCTAGAACTGCTTGGAGGGGCAAAATGGTAGAAATTAAAACCCACTAGTGGATGATAATAATGCCTTTGGATGAGATCAAGGATGATGCCTATTCCTACAATAAAGAGGTAGTAAGACTCCCTGGAAAAGACCCTGAAGTTGGGAAAGTGTGAAGGCAAGAGGAAAAGGGGACGATAGAGGATGAAATGGTTGGACAGTGTCATGGAAGCAACCAACATGAATTTGAGCCAACTCCGGGAGGGAGTGGGAGACAGGAGGGCCTGGCATGCTCTGGTCCATGGGGTCATGAAGAGCCAGACATGACTAAATGACTAAACAACAATAACAACAACAACAACAACAACAACAACAAAGAGGTAAAGAAGACCCAAGATCTAATGAATGCATTCCATTGGAAGGATTTGGTTAATATAACTTGCTACTGAGCAATTTTTAGACATAATCCAAATTTATTTTTATTCAGGCACTGAGCAAAAACCTGTAATCAGATTAGAATTCTACTTACAGCATTAGTTAAGCTTATAAAAAATACATACTTTGCATTCTGAATTTTCAACACACCATTCACAGTAAAACTAAATTTAAACATACAAAACAAATCATCCAGATTTCCCTGACAAGAAAGTATCTTGGCCATGACAAATTTTTCATGATACATGATATAACTATATCAGATTATAGATATATGCTTGATATTTGGAAGATGCATGTACTACAGAAGTAGTTTAGTGTCAATTAAGGACACGACTGTTCGTAGATGAACAGTCACACATTCATGTGTCTTGGAATATAAAATATATTATTTGTCTCTTGATGCCAGCAAATAAATATTAACTAAGAAAACTATGCAAAGATAAAAGTTGTGCGTAGATGCAACATGTGCTGTTTCAATTTTATTGGAATGTTCTTTTTCTTAAAACATTTGTGCGTGATTGTACTTTTGGCATCGCAATGCTGACTGTGGTGTATTGACCTATTCTGTTAGATTTTTCTGCGGTGTGTGATCTTCCCTCAATAACTTCATTCTGTACAAGTAATTATGTAATAACACTTGAACTGAAATGCTGTACCTTATCTGCGGGAATTACTTTCTGTGCAGCCATAGACAGAACTGGCTACAGGAAGCTTCTGTTCATATACCAGAAAGAAGGAGAACTTTAGAGATCAGAAATTTAAACTCAGAATGCCAAAGGGCCTTTTCATGGAAGGGGGGTGGTCTCAGGGCACCCCTGTTTCCAAAGGGGGCTTTTAGCCTCCCCCTGGATTTGGATGATAATAAGCTGCTTTGTTTCGGTTTGTCTTGGATGCAGGAAGAGTTACAACATGAACTTATTCTGTAACTCCGTCTACTTCCTGCCAGTCCCATCAAGCTTGCAGAAACTACTTTTTGGATCACACCTGTTATTAAGAGAATGACAATTTGCATCAGCAAACTTTTATTTGTGGAAGCTTTCCGTAAGATTTAGAATTATAAAAAGAAAGGCTCTAAATCTTTTGGAGAACTGCCACAGATTTGCAGAATTTGCCACCACTGTGCCTTTCTCCTTACTGCTGCCATTTCCTCTGAATATCCATTGAAAGCTGAAAGATCAAGAAGTATAATCAGGAGTAAGAATATCTGAAAACTGTGTGCTGGGATGACACTGATTATAAAAGACAAAATGTCCTGCAAAGGAAGCTACAAAAGCACCTTAGAACTCCCACTGGACCCCAAAAAGGTGATATGATTCTGCTGGAACATTTGTACTATACTGCAAATGGTTCTTAACACCAGTTTAAAGACTTAAGAAGTGTTACTGGCTGGTTTCTATATTGTTAATTAATGTGCAATATAAATGGCATTGAAACAGCAACAGTACTTGTTCAAAAGAATGTTATTCAGTCCCCTATGGGGAGAAAGGTGACATATCAATAATTTAAATTAAATAAAATAAAGAAAAGAAAAGAAAAAATTCAAGATGGGATTCCCTTTGAATTAGCAGTGAAGCATTTAGGCAGCAGGCACATTACAGCAATCCTCACTGTCTCTTCTGTCAGGAGCTATGCTCCTAAATCCCTAGTAAAATCAAGACACAGCAACCAAAAACCCCTCAGAAAGTTTTTGTGTGGAAGAAACTCCATGTATCTTTGAGCATATATATATCTAATCTTGCCTGAAGCATGTTTAAGGCTTATCCTCAAAGAATTTAGGCAACCACTAGTTTATCAAGCTGGCAGAGAACTGCTTTTACCTCTGAGAAGCACATATCCCAAGGTTACTTAGCTGGATGGCAAAACATTTAAACCACTTTTTTCAGTTTGCCACATAAACGTGTCCCAGCTTTTGAGAAAGTATTGTTTCTTGAAGTTGTCTAAGTGCAGCCCTAAAACTTGGGATTTTAAAGCAAGCTTACTCTAAATGCAGTTTTTGTTACTGTAGCACGTATTACCATGCAATTTTTCACTACTACCATGTCTGCAGATATTAGAGAACATGCCATTTGTATGGAAATCTAGGAAGTCCACAATGGTTTAAAGCCTTCTGAGGCATCAGCAGCCTCATCAAACATACTAGAGTTTGATCAAAAGGAAGAGGTTCCAGTCCAAGGTGGTCTATTTTCTGATACCTCTGTGATGGTTTTCTGTGGCATCTACACTGCTAGGCCAGCTGTAGGAGGAACAAAATAAAATAATAGTAGTTAAAATGGAAGCTTCAAACTTTAGACAATTAAATTGCTGCTCATTTTCCACGAACTGTTAGGCCATAGTATTGACAACACATAACACTGAATTACATTACATCATCTGATATAAAGGAGCACTTCTCAAGCTACATACACAAGCACTGTTCTTCTAAAATAATTGCCCCCTCTGACCATTTCCACCCTATAAACTTCCTTTTGTTTACATTACCAGCTCCTTATCCTTCCTTGCCTGCACTACTCTTCTCATAGTAGGGATGGGGACTTGAGTCATGGGACTCGCTGTGCAGACAGACTTAAGTTGCACCAGTGACTTGACTTTGACTTGTCTTCCCCCCCCATGACTCAGACTCAATTTGTAAATCAAAACCCATCCGCCTCTCTTTTTTTGGGGGGGGGGGAATCAAAACCCATCCACCTCTCCTCTTTTTTTTAATAGGGATTTGAATTCGGGACTTGGTACCAAAGAGTCAGACTTGTTGGTACCAAAGAGTCAGACTTTGAGTCAGAGTCCAGTACCAAGGACTCGGACTCAAACCCAAAGACTTACCAACATTCCTTCCTCATACCTCCTGTACACATTTCCTCCCATGCTTCTTCATTTCCTTTCTAATGTAATTTGAACCTGAGCCATTTTAGACATGTTATTACTTGCAATTTTTTTTTTCATTCCTCAAATGCCATTGAAAAACTCTAAAGCATGATCTTGTTACTTTCCCATCACCAGATTGGGGTAAAAACCATCTGCAACCACCCATCTAGCTTGAGAAATGCTGGCCTAAAGAATGAAACTGAACAGGGAACTGCCATTTTGTTTCATTGGGATTCTGTGGCTATTCTTGTAAGCCACTGTGGTGCGGTGGACAGAACGTCACACTGGGATTCAGGAGACCCTGATACAAATCAGCTCTTGGCTGTGGAAGCTCTTTAAAGATTAAGACGCTCTGGAGTGTTGGTTCCCAACTTTGGGTCCCCAGATGTTCCTGGACTAAAACTCCAAGAAGCCTTCACCAGTAGCTGTGCTGGCTAGGATTACTGGGAGTTGTAATCCATCTGGGGACCCAAGACTGGGAAACCTTGCTGGAGAGTATCTCCTTCAAGGGCACAATAAGTGCTGCTAGAAAGAAATATTGTTTCCAATTTATGGATGGTTATGGGTATATGTGTGTATGACAGCTCCACCCATAATGTCTGGAATGGCAGACCTTTGTCATTTCAATCTGTAGGATCTTCACGCAGTTCAAGAAGTGTCAGTTTACCTCCAGTTTTACAACCACTATTCGTTTTTAGAAGGATAACAGCAGTAAGTGATCAGAAAGAAGAGCCATACAGTTTTGTAGTTTCCAATTATGGAAGAATTTTATTTACCTGGTCCACAGGAAAGTGCACAATTGAAGTACAATCATGTAAGACATGTCACTATAATACTGAGAGTCAGGCTATCAATCTAAAGATATTAACTATACAAAACAACTGCTGGCTTTATGATTTAAACTTCCTTCTGCAAAGAAAGTTAATTGGCAGCCTGATGCTTTTTAGAAGGAATACACATTCATGAGCGCACAGAGTTCTCAAAATAAAATACAGACCCAAGAAGATATGCATACAAATACAATTTGCATTTCCTTTTTCTCTCTTTTTTGAAGAACAGTTTTCTTACTCTGCATAAGCTAATTCTAAAATATAGGAAGTGAGAATTTAGAATCCAGTGTGAGATGCAGCCAACACACATGTATAAATGGTTTGTTAAAATCAAGCTATACAGTGTAGTCTTCCTAATTCCTATTCCATGCATACTGGCCAAAATCTTGTCGCTTAGTGTAGTAAATTGTATAGACAAGGCCAATTAAATCAATGGGGATTTGGTGAGTAAATGTCTCTGTAAGGTCCATTGATTCAAATGGGCTGACTATTAACTTCAACTTACTTTAGCCTAGTAAGTCTCAGTTATAGTAGGCCCACTGAATAAATTTATTGAGTCAACCCTTCTATAAGGTCAATTTGCATCAATTGAACTTATGGAAGAGTTGACTCACTAAACTTATTCAGTGGGCCTACTCTAGTGTGACTATGTTAAATAACAGGATTTTGGCTGCTATGTTTTTAGCCTGGACCTTGCATTATTCTAAATATCCATATTGTCTCCACTACACAGTGAACAGCTTCACCATCTTTGCGTATAAAGAGGTTTGAAACATATATTTTTAAGCAACAGTTTTTAAATGAAACAACTGCTTGGCATTAAAGGACAAGTAATGTTATAAGCAGGCTTTGGGTTCATGCACTTTCCCTACCACTAGCATAACTAAGAGGAGGAAGGAAACATTTATTTTGTTTTCAACACACTGTGCTTTCCCCTTATATATGAACTGGGGCAAATGAGTTAGTAAATATTTGAACATGTCAATTTTGAACTTATGTAACAATCCTAGCTTAGTTGGATAAACCATTGTTAAAAGTTCAGAGCAAACAAAAAAGGCATCTAATGTCCTCCTCTTAAAAGAAGGAAAGGGCAGGAGTAGGCTTGTACACAGGAGGCTATACCATGGTTTTAGCATTTCTCAAAGCGAGGCAAATCACAAATTCCAGCTTAATCCCTGCTCTCCCAAAGCCCAAAATCTGAGCAGGTTTTAAAATCATATTGAATTTACCAGTCACTTCATGGTTTTTTCCCCTTGGCATTATGATTGGCCAAGCTCCTGTTGCTTAGCATAATAAATTAAAGTAAGTTGCAGTTAGCATAGGCCCACCTGAATTAATGAAGTTGACTCACCAATCCCCAGTGATTCAATGGGCCTACTTTAGTGCAATTTACTGTGCTAAACATGATTTTAGCTATTAGATAGCAAATGATGTACAGACCTGTCAAATCCCCAAAGACACTATGGATGTCAGATACCCTTGGGGCTCTACACTTTGCCCATGACTACACTTCTCCCAGGAGGCATAGTGAATATAGTGATTAGAATAATAGACAGGAGCTTTGGGGTATCCAGATTTAAGTCTCTAATGAACTATAAAACTCAATGGGTGACCTTGGGCCAGTTACTCCTTCCCAGCTTGACCTTCCCCACCATACTATGAGTATACACTATGGAGGAAGAGAGTTATGCAAGTTGCCTTGAGCTCTTTAGAGGACAGGCTGGAATTTAAGCTCAACAAATATACATTGTACATGTACAATCAAGAAAGTCTTTGCTTAGGCTTGGGCACTGTTCCACATTTGATATGATAGTCACATTGTTGTAGAAATATATAAATATTTAATATAACCACTGCAACCTCACTATTTCAAGTTTATCCTCAGAGGGCGAAAGGAAGCAAGGCACATTGCCCCCTGGTTTGCAACACATTCATTTGTCAACCCCAAATACATAGATTAGCTCATAAAAATACTTATTCCAAACTAACAATAGGAAAAAAATTAGTGCACATGATTCTTTGCAAATATACCCATGCTCCATTTCCTGTATAACTATCAAAAGGATCGCCAAAGGCTGGCAGAGACCAGACTAGAGAAGAAGAAAGAGATTTCAGAAACAGCTAGGAAAGAGATTTACAGAAATTAACTGCTTACAAGTCCACTGAAGAAAAGAGCACACAATCAAATGTATTCAGATTTTTTCAGTGCCTCCTTAGCAACTTCCAGGACTATTGATCTTGAAATGGAAGCGTCAAATCCAAAAGTGGGTGGTACTGAAAGCATCACCACTGTCATTTTCCATGTTTGTTTGGGATTTTTGGGATTTTTAAGAGATGGAGAAGGGTGGGAAGAAAAGTAGAAGGAAAAAGGGGGAATGAACAATAATATCTTATGTTTGTTGTGGGTTTTTTGGGCTCTTTGGCTGTGTTCTGAAGGTTGTTCTTCCTAACGTTTCGCCAGTCTCTGTGGCCGGCATCTTCAGAGGACAGCAAATTGTGCTCTGGTGTAGTTGGGAGTGGAGTATTTATGCTGTGAGATAGGCTAGTTGGTGAAATAGGCTATTGTCCTAATCAGGAGATGAGTGATTAGTGTGTCTTGTTGTGGGTGTATTGTTGTGATAAGGAGGAGAGATTATCTGTCCCTGTGGTTGATGGGTGTCATTAGCTGGTCTTTTGAGCTGGTGATAAAAAAAATTCAGCACCAAGGCTTAATAACATTCCAGACCACTCTCCTAGAGCAGTCAAATCTCTACTGACATGGTTTCAGGTCTGCTCAAGACTGAAAATCAGTTCACAGAGTGGGATAGAGTATTTTTACTGGACATTATTAAAGGGTTGCTAATTCAATACCACGTTAGTAGTTAACAGCACACATCAAGGTGTCTCATCTTTTTCTGCCATTTCCACATTTAAATTAAAATTATGCTAACACTAAGGACAGCCTGCTCAAGACCATTTGGGGTCTCGGTAGATCCACTAGAACTGAAGATAGGCTACATGTCAACTTGTTAGTCCACATCCTATCCAAGGCTGTTCAGGGCTGATGGAGTGAAAAGTGCAGGGGCATATGTAGGATTGCCCACTGTAGTTATTGTGTCACAAGGATGCGATTTTTACTTGTGCAGAAAGCTCTGGGATAGTTCCATCAACACAAGCAGAAAACATTAAACTATTCACATTACATTCTATTGTACAAGTATTTTGGCACCACTGGGCCCTATCTTTTCCCCAGTAAACCAGAACAAAGTCATCAGGGGACAGATGAGTGCAAGTCCACGAATGCAGCATTTATCAAAATCTTTTTAAAAAATACTCAGCAAAACAAGATGGCAGTTATGAGCAGAATTAAATAGGAGTGCCTGGGAAACACACAGACAAAATTATCCAAGGCTAAAAGAGATACCTTTTAGGCAAATAATAAAGCACCCCATATAAGCCTACCCAGTTTTTAAGATCTTCCGGGGAGGCCCTTCTCTCCATTCCACCATCTTCCCAAGCTCACTTGGGGATGACATGAGAGAGGGCCTTCTCAGTGGCTGCTCCCAGGCTTTGGAATGCACTGCCTGGAGAAGCCAGGTTGACCCCTCCTCCTTCTTGTCCTTCCATTGGCAGGCAAAGACCTTCCTATTCAGACAGGCTTTTGAGCAGTAAATGGAGGTCTAGGAAATACTGTATGTATGAAATTTAATTTTATTAAACATGTTCTTTAAAATGTTTTTAAAAATTGTGTTTAATCTTGTTTTTAATCCAATTAATATTTAATTGTTTTTAATGTAGTCTTGCATAGTTTTAACCTGTTATCATTGCACTGCTTTAATTGCTGTGAACTGCCTTGGGTCCTCTATGGGGAGAAAGGCAATATATAAATAAAATAAAATAGTTACTGATTGCTTTGGGTGAAGTTTCCTTTACTCAGCCAGCCAGCCAGCCAGCCAATCATTTCCTGATTATTTTAAGAATGTTCCTTTTAAGGCAAAGCACGGGAGCAGGGCCAATACATCCCAGGCACTGAATCACATATCCTTACGTTCATTTCTCAACAAATGGCAAATAGTTAACAAAATATTTCTCTATTGCAAGGGTATCATATCACAGCTGTAAAGAAGACATGACTACATATGGATGGCAGCTTCTAGGAAAGCTACATTTTGTGAAAATTAAGTAAATTCCTACAGGTATTACAAAGGAGTTCTTATCATCACCATGCAAGAATTTCACACCACAAAACAAATATGCCACATAAAAACAACACACACACACAAACACACACACCAGGAATACGAATCAAAGGTGTATTTTTTTAAAATCAATTTCATACATATTTGTACAATTCACATGTTAAATGGAAAAAAATACTAGAATATAACAAAGGATTTGCCAACTACATTTGTAGGAAAGGGAAGTGCAATCCAGCAGAGTTGCAAATCAATGCAAGAGGCAGCCCTTCTGATCACAAGACTACCACAAACATATCTCTTATGGAACAATCTCACTTGGTAGTGGAGACAGATACCAGGGGCTCACAGATGACCGAATCTGATTTCTCCCTGTAGAGAGAACAACAGGCCATTGACAATTCCTCTCATATTGTGGTATGAGGAAAAAAGCTGCACAATATTTCTCAATTCTTTCTATTTTGCCTTCTGGGAAAACTGGAAATATTAACATTGTACTATATAACATGTTTTAAGGTAAATACATTTCACAAGACTGTAGCATATGGCATTGTGCGAAGAGCATCTCCAAATTAATTCACCCTTAATTACCTTTGGACCTGGAATGTAAATAGGAACTTTCAGTGTTATTCTTTCATTAATAACATCCACCAGCTTCCTGTGGTAGACAGAAGTATAATTCTACATAGGAATGCCCTAATAGGAAATCTGAGATTAGCAAATCTTCTGCTCTGAATATAGAGAATGTTTGTCTAAATAAAATTATTTCGTTTATAATTCTCTGGCCACTATCCTAATTCCAGTCTTACCTAATAGTAGACCTTTTGAATCAAGTGCTGAAGTCAACACCTATGTAAACCACACTGAGTCAATGGGTCTATTGTAGTTGGGACTAGCAATAAGATACTGGCTGTGGAGTAATCAACATCTCCCCCTAAAAAGATCATAGATAACAGAACACAGAAATATTAACACCTGAGGCTAAGAAAGTGGCAGCTGATCACTACAGACAGTAGTGGGTAGATAAACCAATGGTCAGATTCAGGATATGACAGATTTCTATGCTCATATTACATATTCATTTACAGATTATTAGTTTTAGTCATAGCTTATGTTTTTGGGTGAAAATTGGAAAGGTCTTAGGTATACACATACCTGAAAATATAATGCGCAAGGTGCTAACAAGACAAAATACAATTTGAACAGGATTGTGGAAAGCTAGGTGTTTGTTTGATCGTTTATTGTTGTACAGTAGGACCCCCCCCCAGATGCTAGATCAGTATCTGCTGATACATTTATCCACTGCCTGAAAATACTAAATAACACCCCCAATAATATTTATATTTCTGTTATTTCCAGGGTGTACTTACCAGAACTGGCCACTATAGGGAGCCAGAGACCATGCAATGTATAGTGTTTGATACTTTTGCCTTTTTCAGTTTCTGCAGTGGGGGGCTTAGAAGTTATCCCCACAGATATTGGGGTCCTACTGTACTTGATTCCTCTTGTTTGTTTGTGGAATCAAATAATGCGGCTAAATGCAGCTAATGAGCTATATACCAAAATCTAGTTTGCCTAATTTTTAAGGGGTTCTTAATTTATAGGAGCACGTCACTCACATTCTCCTTCTGAAGGGACATCTAACCATCTCTTTACAAGTGTCTATTGAACAAAAAAGAAACATAAAACAACACATGCAAGCTGTTCTGAGCGATACTCACAGGCCAGCTCTTTTCACTTGAAGCTGCAGAGGAAAATAAAACACAAGCAAGCACAAGCTGCAGTTCAGTAAAGACATAAAATGCAAGAAAAGAAAAGCCAGAAGCATGAGGAAAGAGAATGGAAAAAAAATCCCCACAAAGATAACATAATCTACTATAGCCAAAATAAACGCAAAATAGAAGCCAGTGAATAACACCCAACCTGGCATAATGACATACCCAGGTCTTTGTCAAGCCAAAGAAAATGTCATGAGTAAAACAAGCTCTTTGTGTATCTCATTATTACCACATCCAAGAGATACACACCAGTTTTAGAACAATAAGAGTTGAAGCCTGTTAGCTCACTCTCAGTTGCTGTTTTCTTAAACCGATGTTGCCTCAAAAAAGCTTTGTAAGGTAAGCTCTCAGCACCACGCTTTATGTTCCAAAGCTTCTTCCACTGTTTTGTGGGTCCCATATATAACAACAGAAAACCGGGCCAGAAAATTATTACTCCTGGTCTGTCAGAGCAATTGGCTGCGGAGACCACTATTTGAGGAGACAACCAGTATCTGAAATACCTGCTGGAAATGAGGGGCATAATTATGCATTAGAATGCATGCCTGTATAACAACAGAAAACCGGGCCAGAAGATTATTACTCCTGGTCTATCAGAACAATTGGCTGCGGAGACCACTATTTGAGGAGACAACCAGTATCTGAAATACCTGCTGGAAATGAGGGGCATAATTATGCATTAGAGCACTGGTTCTTAACCTTGGGTTACTCAGGAGTTTTGGACTGCAACTCCCAGAAGCCTTCACCACCAACTGTGCTGGCTGGGGTTTCTGGGAATTGCAGTTCAAAAACATCCGAGTAACAAAGGTTAAGAACCACTGCATTAGAATGCATGCCTTAGCTATGAAAAAGCAGCGAAAGGAAAAAGTAAAAACAAATACAAAAGCAAGCAGCAACCTTGGCAATGGAGAAAAACTTTTTTTTTGCAGTGTAATCAAATATTGGAAATGTTGGTGCAAGTCCTCTTTAATCAAGCTAAAGGACAGATTTAGCAAAATGGCTCTGCTCTAACTACAGTAAATGATATCCAAAATATTATGAATACAGTAGGACCTCCCATCTGTGGGTTCAGTATCTGCAGATTCACTTATCCGCTGCCTGGAAGAGCCTCATGGGGCAGTGGTTAAAGTGCTCTACTGCAGATAAAATTCTCTTCATGACCCAGGGTTCAATCCCAGGTCACTGGCTCAAGATTCACTCAGCCTTCAATTCTTCTGAGGTTGATAAAATGACTATCTAGCTTCCTGGGGGAGGGACAATGCTAAGCCTGCATTATTAACTTGTAAGCCACCCAGAGGGTGCTGTAAGCACTTTAATATTTGAAAATACTAAATAACCCCTTCCCCAAAATACATATTTACCATATTTTTCGCTCCATAAGACACACCTTTCCATAAGACGCACCAATTTTTTAGGAAAATAAAACAGGAAAATATAATCTTTTTTCTTCGCTCTATAAGACACACAGACGTTCCACCCCCGTTTTGTGGGGAAAAAGTGCATCTTATGGCACGAAAAATGTGGTATATGTAATTCCAGGGTGTATTTACCAGAACTGGCCACTAAAGGCCCAAGGATATCACAGTTCTATTGTGGATCATACCAGTGGTCTATCTAGTTCAACATTCTGTTCACAAAGCCCCACACCTCAATTTGGGAGCTTTTTTTCAGGGTCAAAATGATATTTTTAGAGGTGTAAAAGAAAAAGGAATGTTTTGGTCCAGCTACGAGAATTCATTACTACTTTTAGGTGTCCAACTAGATAGCTATGAAAAACCTCTTTAGACTGGAATAATCAGAGAGGAAGCATTCAAATTATATCACTCTTTGGAAGGTGGCTGCATCAGCCCTTAGATTCAAAGATCCAAAAGGTCACATATGGAGTTCATTAAGAGGGCAAATGTGAAGAACAGCAGAGGCTGGAGGTATAATACTGTGCCTTTTTGTTGCCGTGTTTTGCTTTAGGATAAAAGATTAGGATAGAGGAATTACCACCTGAAAACTGTCTTGCAGCTTCTGTTGATCCTTCTCATTTCGGCCTTCCAGCAACAGCAGCGACCCTGCTGGATTGAGAGGTTTGCTCCCGACACTGTAATTGCGAGGACGCTTTACTGTGTCCGGACTGGCTAGTGGCGTGAAGCTGTTCCTTCTCAGCCTTACAGGGGTTTGGCTCTTGGGAAGGTTGTTCTGATTGAAAATGGAGGATACCGTAAGGAAGGAAGCATTGAGCCACAGTATCTTAAGTCAAAATTAACACCACAGAATATTTCTGATGGCAGCCATGTGCATATCATGACCTTCATAACTTGACACAGTGCAGTAATGTTCAATGAAGCTAAAGGGTTTCTTATGTCTTATACATGCCACTCAAGCATCAGAGTATGCATCTGATGTGTATATAACTAGCTCACCATGCCCTTTCCTATGGTGAAGGTGTGGGGGCATACCCTCTAACATGCATCTCCCTAAGAAGAACCTTACTTGAATTAGACCAAGGTCTGTCTAGTTCACCATTCTGTTCCTTCCACAGTCAACCAACTTGCCAACGAAAATCAGTAGGACAAAGAGCTCAACAGTAGTCTGTGATGTGTGGTCTCACCAGTGAATAAGATCCAGAGGCCCCTTGCTTTTCATATTAGAGGGAATATCCATTATGACTAGCAACCATAAATGGCTGCATCCACCATGAATTTGTCCAATCCCCTTCGGAACCCACAATGATAATGCTGTGTAGATGTCTCCTCCTCCACCATACAGACTCACTGGCCCACTAGAGTCTAAAATGTGACCAGTGCGTGTATGCAGTAGTGACTCTTTGCTAACAGAAAGCAGTTATCCTTGAGCATGGCACAGTAACAGCCTTTTAGCCAAATCCCCCTTCACATGACAGTCCTCCAATGCCCTCAAGCTTCTAAGACATTTAGGAAATCCCTGGAAGAACATGGGATATACTGAAGGGCTGCGGTAGCTACAGTGGACCCTCTACTTAAGGAATTAATCCGTATTGGAATGGTGGCTGCAAGTCGAAAAGTCTGTAAGTCGAATCTCCATTGACCTACAATGCCCTGAAAACCGATTAATCCCATAACCAGTGGTTTTTATTCTATTTTTATTCCATTTTGGTTTTTTTCTGGTCTGTAAGTCGATTCTCTGGCTGCAAGTCGAATCTAAATTTTGCAGCCAGAGAAATCTGTAACTCGAAAAGTCTGTAAGTCGAGGGTCCACTGTATTGGAATTGGTGAAAATCATGTCCCTCACGTTGCACAAGCTGCCACTGGATACAATTGAATTATATGTCTTCAGGCTTCAGGTGGGGATCTGCATGACTTTCAGTAGCAAATACCAATGGTAACAGTATCTTAAAAACTTGATCTCGACTTTCTGGAAAAATATTCTTTCTACTGCATTTAAACAATGGCAGACATGGGACTTTCAATTACAAGTTTTTGAATAATCAGAGATAAATGTCAGAATTCAACACTATCCCCCTTCACTATAACTTAAATGGACAAATACAGTAACAATTCCATGCAGTATAGCTAGTTTTAAACATCCTCAATAAAATTGATAAGTGTTTCTTATTAGGGAAGAAAAGGACCAAGGATAAATGCCTACAGAATGCTATAGAAAAACCAGCCTACCTGTTGTGAAATTGGGGCAACCCGATTTGCACAGTGTACTAACAGGCTACTTTAATAGCTCTCATATAAGAACAGCTTTATGATGTGTAAAAACTAATCACAAAGTGCTAATGCAGCAGTTAGTTTTCATTGCATTGAGACTACGAGCCATATTAACCCTTTATGGGGAAAATGTAACATATAATTAATATAAAGATCTATCTATCTATCTATCTATCTATCTATCTATCTATCTATCTATCTATCTATCTATCTATCTATCTATCTATCTATCTATCTATCTATCTATCTGAAGATAACACTGATTAGCAATTAAGAAGAAAACAGTGTGTGGTTATAATTAGACTGCATCTGAGAAGTTGGTAAGTTAAAATTTATAAATCAGTCAGGCCAGCCAGCCAGCCAGCCAGCCAATCAATCAATGCCTAAAACAAAAATACCAAACATATATTCTTGTACTGATTTGAAATCTTGATTCCTGGGCTTTTTTTAACCATTTAAACTTCTTTCATGAAAAATAGAGGTGGATGGGAAAATGTTGAACAACGTTTCACTGCCTTCATAGAGCTGACAGGGAGAACAAAGATATATATACAAGAACCAGTCTAGTTAAATCTCATAGCCTGGTTCAGTGGTGGTGAACCTTTTTGGGCTCGCCTGCCCAAACTGGGAAAAAAAAAACACACCAGCGGTCGGTGTGCTGCCATCGCCGCGGAAGTGGCAGCAGTGGAACTGGAGATGGCAGCAGAAAGGGGAATCCCAACATGGAGGTGCCTCAGGACCCCACTCCAGATCCGGTTGCTGCAGATCTGCTGCCGAAGTGCCAGCACTGTGGCTGCAGCTGCCTTCTCAGGTTTGGCTGCGTGCGGGGGGTGGGGAGGAGTAGCAATCTGGTGACTTATGGCTCGTGTGCTGGCAGAAAGGTCTCCACGTGCTAGCTGTGGCACACTTGTCATAGATTCACCATTGCTGGAGTTAAACCTTATAACCACACACAATTTTATTCTTTCTTGCCAACCATACATCATTTTTTTCCCTTATTGTATTTCCTTATTGTCTTGCTGTCTGTGAGTTCTAGAACAAACATCATATCCAGCCCATCTGGAGTTTGTAAGGCAGGAGACTAACAGAAGGCCTTCTGCCCCTGGGAAGAGAGTCAGGACAAGAGGAGAAGAGAAAATATTTTGTAATTCAAAAGAACATTTTGGGAACTGTAATTTTTTCCCCCATCCATATTATTAATGGACAGAAACAGAAACTTTTAGATCATCAACAACAAAAACCCAACCCGCACAATATACTTTGTGGTTAACCATTCCCTGGAATTTATTTCATTGGAAACAAAATCCAGCAGATTCATAGGGCATATATTTCATGCCACACTGTAAACTTATATTAGTAGCATGTAGAAGATATAGCATACTCAAAGCACTTGCATTTTGGAAAGAAATATTACTGTGGATTTTTAAAATAATTCCTACTACAACTGTTTCTACTGCAGAGCTGAAGGCAAGAGAACAAGACTGACCAAACATTCAAAAATTGTCAATTCTGAATGTACTTTTAAAGCAGCCTGTGTTAATAAGTTTGACTGTGGATTTGCACTAAACTCCCAGCAATCTTATCTATGGCATTTCACAGAAGAAGCCATGGAAATGCCACCAATTACAACAAACTGATATGAAAAACTGATATTTGTGTCAACCATCTGAACTCAGAGGTCACATTTCACTTTGTCCGTGTAAGCGCAGGAACATAGTGGTTTATATGAATTTGTACTCATCCAGAATCTTAGCAGCCTTTGGCAAAATCCTTTTGCCACTGTATTTTCATGTGTGAAAATTTCCAGGGAGTTACACTAAGACATGTGCAGCATGATAATTGGTATATCTATGGGTATGGTGAAGCACACAAGAAATGCATTACAACTTAGTAACATTTCTCTGTGTTTACCATGTTGTCCACATACCAAGATAACACAGTTAGTTGCCTGGAATAAAAACACACGATTATGTGATTGAGCTGCCTATGTTAATTTTTCAAAGGAGACCTTTTATTATAGATATAGCCTTCCTGTTTTTAGCTCATTGCAAAAGCCAAGCAAACCATCTGTATCAAAAATGTCTTCATGTGATGCATAGTTTCCTTCTTTTTGCCTGATAACATTAAAATCTATGTTTTAATTCTCTACACAGCATTCAAGCAGAAGAAAATGAGAAAATTTAAGTCTAAAATTTCCCAAGACAAGCCATCATGATAGGCAGTTTTTTAAAAAGGGCTTAAAGAAAAAGTAGTTTATCATTAACTGTTAACCAGTATTTGGAAGTATATCAAATCCAAATTATTTCTTAAAATGCGAGGACTTGACCATTGTAAATTAGCTTTGAAATTCTCAACAACTTCTTCAAAATTCAAGTTACTACAGGAGAATTACATTTTCACAAATAGTTTTCAGAGGGCCTATTGGCTGGAATTCTATTGACAGAGCTGTGCCATGCAACTAAGACTGATGGTGGTGATTTTGTGGGCTTTGACTTGTTCCATACCCTATTTCAGAACTCCCTAAAGCTTCTTCAGGATAAATGGGATCCCTAGGGATCCTCAGAACCTTCTGTGGGGAGGGGAGAATAGGTAGCTTAATGGATGTGGCTGATAATATTATCTGTGTTGTGTGGCATAACAGGATTCTGTTCAGTACTGTGAAAACAGTTTAATCTTATCTTCAGCAAAGAAATAGTGAGATTCATAAAGATTAAACTAGGACATTTTCATTGCTTTCAAAAGCTTAACACCAAACCTTAAAGCAGTGATGCCAAATATGTTGCCCTCCAGATAATTTCCTATACTGGTTAATAATGCTTGGAAGTTTAGCCCAACAATCTTCAGGGGGCCACACACTCTTCATAGTGTCCTCATCATGTGCCTCACAATGTGGCACTTTGGCTTAATGAAGCCAAAGTGCTTGGGTTTAGTTTACTGTTTTAAACATGGCTAGTCATTTTAGCATTAACTAGAACAGAACAGACTAGTACATACCATGGTAGATGGTTTGTCTCGGTGTGTGTCCACAGCATCAACGTTCAGAGAAATCATTTCTAATTTACAGCCTTCACAAACATGAAAAAATATGAAAAAAGTAACATACGTGTTACTTACGTGTTGTCGGGGGGAGGAATAAAAAGTACTATAGTGACAGAGAATTTTAAAAATGTAACCTAAAGAAAAAAATTAAATATCTACTCCAAAACTGAAATCAAAAAATGCCTATTGAACAAACGCTGGACAGACAAGGAAAAGATAGGGGCTGCTTCTTGGACATTCTTGGCTGCTTTACCAGGATAAAAACCTTCAGCAAGGCATCACAGGTTTATGTTCTGAAATTTATAATAGAAAACCAAATTTCAGGGAAGCTAAGGTAGCAACTCTTTACATACTTACCTGGGAGTAACACCAATCAAATTAGTGGGACCTATTTCTCAATTTACATAGGACTGCACTGTAAATTAGTTTGTGTTCCTAGGTGTTCTAGAGAGAAAGGGAGTGTACAGCCACATGCACACATTTTGTGTAATGGGGAGGCAACAACTTTAATTGGTTGCAGTAGCAGAATTCTGTCCCAGCATTGAGAACTGGTTCTAAAATACCAGGTGACCTTTTGTAAACCTGATTCACTCACTGTTCATTCTTCAGCTACCTCTTGCTAACACCAGGAAAGGACAATCAGTTGGAAACCATATCATGTCTGGCCACTCTGTTGCTCCCTGTCACTTGTGGGTGAAGCTAAGGCCCCAGCAGCTCCCTGTCCAGCTGGTCCTGCTGTCACCCCAGCAACTTTATGGGGATTCAAACAAATAAAGGGAGGGGCTCAGCCTGCCCAGTTTACTCTCGCAACCCTGGATCCTGCCCAATGCCCTAAAACTGCTGGAAAAATATTGTGACAATTAATTGAATAAACCTTGCTCACAAAACAGACAATTTACCATTTGCCAGCCCCTGATGAAACAGTAGTATAAGGAGGGAAGGCTGGCTGGTCAGGGTTTGTTTGTTTTTAACAGTACTCAGGTAGACCATTTCCCTCTGAGACACCCGGAAAAATCCACCCACCAAAGCCCCACCCACCAATCAGCCGCCGGCAGCAGTACATCAAGGCAGTGCACTTCCTGTTGACTCTGGTCTAGTGCAGAACACTAACTAGGAGCCCGCCATGACACCTTGGTGGCTGGCTGTGTCACCCACTTCCTGTCTGGGTCTGCTGCAGCAGACAGAGTGTGGAGCCCCTTGAGTTAAAGCTAGACTTTATATTTTTCATAAGCTCCGTAAAGGGAAGCTATGCTAATTCATAGCCCATATATCAAATTAGCAAAGATTTCTAATCACAAGATCAATCCTTCCCCTTCTTGGCTCCCACTACCTCGTACAAGCCCACATAAATATGCAAACAAATATTTACCATAAGCAACAGGAGTGAGTTTAAAGATGGTGTGAAGGGGGCACTTCAAATAGGGTAGCTCATCTGCAAAAATACAAACAGGAATGAAAAACCAGATATACTGAGTATGGTTCAAGATGTAACACACCCTGTGTGCCATTTTCTATCTTGCCTCAGCCCAGCAAAAATATAATTTTTCATTTCATTTTGTTTAACTTATTGAGTCGATAGAAAATACAGCAATGGAACAGTAGTGCACTTCTTCCACTACAATTATATAACCTAGCAATGCTTAAAGTCTGAAGACTGATCCTCAGAGGATGTGGTAAATCATTAAGAGACAGAAGGCCAGCTATATTCAGCACATAACATTCTTGCAATGGTTGAGTTTTCATTGTACAATTTTTAAAATTATAATGTTTTTTAATTGTATAGATGTGAATGAACAAAAAAACCTGTGATGAAGTCTGTGACAATGTCACTTCCCTTCCATTTATTTTGTTTCTGGATGGTGGATTTGGGATATGTATAGGTACGTTGACTGGCTGCATAATGTAATGAATGGGTGGATTGACAGGTGAGGGCTGTGTGAGTATATGATGGCTAAGAATAGTTATAACAGTTGAAGAGGGGGAAAGAATCCACTTCAATGGAACTGGGTTATGATTGGCTGCTTTGCTCAATCCATGTTGCTGAGGGGAAGTGCAAAAGAGTGAGCAAGTGTTTAATTTAGTCAAGGAGCATTAGGAACCTTAGACAGATATACAGGAATGTGAACATTAACACTTAATCAACATTAACACAATCTTTCTTTCTTTTACTATCTTTGTCATATTGCCGTCTTGAAGAATCGCTTATTATTTATTGTCTGTTATTTATTGCTTATTGTTTACTGTATATTGTTGATATTTTTATTTGTTATATGTATATGTTTGTTGTATTCTTACATGCTTGGAAGCCGCCTAGAGTGGTCATATCGACCAGATAGGCGGGGTATTAAATAAATAATA